ATTTCTTGTTGATTGGTAGTCGAATGGTAGTCGTTGGTTTGGTTTGGTTTGGTTAGATTATCTGTTATCTGTTGGAAAACTCGATGACCTGAAAAAAAAGAAAAAAAAAGAAAGTGAGAAAAAGAGGGGGGAAAGAGGGGGGGGGGGAAGCTTTCACAAAAGGGGGGAGAGATGTTCTCTAATGTTTCTGCGATGAAACTTGTTAAATTGATTGGATATAATTAAAAAGTGTTAAGAAACTTTGATTAAAAAAAAAAAACTTAGCCTATCTGTTCAAGACAGATTTGGTTATAAAATGGAAGACTAGTTCCATTATCGTATACCAGTGGTCCGTGGGTGGAGCCAAAACATTCTGTATGGTTAGTGGTATGCCGTTGGTTTCCAGGTACTCTAGTAGTGGCTTACGAGCGGGTTTCAGTTCAGTGCATTGAATGAGGATATGCGACCTTGTGGCAACGTGGCCGCAGCGACATTTAATGGCGTTGAACTGATGGTCTCGTAGTACGTTGTTGGTCCGGAGTCTGGTTGCCACTTTGCAGATGGCTACACATGGATGGTTTGGTTTGGTTTGGTTTGGTATCTTCGGATCAATCTGGTATCTTGCGGTGTCGAGGTTCCGTAACATGTTTGACCATTTCTGGTTGATCCTAGAAGATACGATACTGCAGAACTCCGAATAGGAGTATTCTACAGGCTCGATATCCTCCAGACTCAGACTTTCTTTGGCACAACGGTCTGCTTGATCATTGCCAGGAATGGAGACGTGCGATGGAATCCATACTAATTCAATCTTCTGGTTGTTGTTGGTTTGGTAGTTGTGGATCATTCTTCTTATTTCGGAAATAACTTCTGACCTGCAATTAGAAGAGGTGAGAAAAATAGATTGGAGGCTGCTTAGCGAGTCGGATAGAATCGCGGCATGTTCCGTGTGATTGACGGACAGCCATGCTACCGCGTCCCTGATGGCAAAAAGTTCTGCTGTGAACACTGAACAGTGCGGGGGGATCCTTTTACTGATGCGGATGCCTTTTGCTGGGATGCACAAACCGTATCCTGTTGCGGTACTACTCTTGGAACCATCGGTGTAGATCTTCAAATGGTCGGCGTACACGGAATCAATGAGATCAAGAGCGTGAGCTCTTGCTCCCACTGGGTTCTCGTGCTTGTTGGTACTCTGGATCAGCTGGGTGTTGACTGTCGGGTTGGTAACCTTCCAAAACGGAGTAGCCGATAGGCGGCGTTCAAGGATCGTTACTTGATCGAGCTGATGCTCTCTCAATAGATCAATGACCGCTTGCCCGTAAGAAATACTCCGATTCTTCTGGTTATTTCCGACACGAGTAAATCTTCTGATGCTGGAATACGTCGGACAGCTTTCGGACAAATACTGAAGTTTCCCCCAGAATTTGAGAGATAGCTCCTCCCTCCGAAGAGAGAGGGGTTTCTCTCCCACCTCCTGAAGTAGCGCCTCATTATTCGTACCTACAGCTGCCCTGGTGGCAATACGTATAGCTTTCATGTGTAGAACGTCGAGTTTCTTCAGTTGAGTATCACTTGCTTTACCATAGGCAATACAACCATAATCAATAACTGAACAAACCAGTGACCTGTACATCATCATTAGAGTTTCTCTGTTTGCTCCCCATGTGGTACCTGAAACATAACGCATAACATTTAAGATTTTTGTAGACCGGTTACAGATATAGTCAATGTGCGTACTCCAAGTAAGACACCTGTCAAAGTGTACTCCCAGGAACCTTACTGAATTCTCATGCTTAATCTTCACACCATTCAGTCTAAGGTCAATACTGTCGTGATCTTTCTTTCTGCTGCAGAACAAACCGACGGTTTTAGCTTCCGAAATAATGAAGCCCCAGTCGTTTGCCCATTTAGCAACTTGGTTCAGAGCAGTTTGCATACGCCATTTAACTTTATTGAGGTCATTGTGACCAGTCCATATCGAACTGTCATCTGCATATAGAGCCGTGCTAACCGAGAGCTCTATATGCTTTACATAATCCAGGGCCAGATCATTGATCATAATGCTGAAGAGGGTTGGGCTAATAACAGAGCCTTGCGGGGTGCCATTCTCCAACGAGTGCTTCTCGCTGAGAGAATTGGCGACGTTCACTTGTATCTGGCGATCCCTTAAGAAGTCTTGGATCCACCTGAACATGCGACCCCGAATGCCAAGTTTATTAAGTTTAAAAAGCAAACCATCAACCCAGACTAAGTCAAAGGCCTCGGACAGATCCAGGAATACACTGAAGTAGTTCTTCTTTCCGAGTTGGGCGGCCATGTCGTGTTGAAGTCGAACGATTTGATCCATTGTTGACCGTTTCTCTCTGTAGCCGCTTTGGTTGGGATCGATAAGACCATTTAGTTCACAGTGGTATCTAAGTCTATTATTGACCATCGTCTCAAATGTTTTACATAGAGTCGAGGTCAGAGAAATAGGCCTGTATGAACTGCATAGACTTTTATCTTTCTGCGGTTTTGCTTATTTTCTTTTCCCTATGAACCTTTTTATACGCCCTCATAAACAGTCTAGAAGGTGTAATTCTTGATGGATTTTGATGAACTTGGTGTGAGTGTTTATCATCCAAAGATCAGAAAAATAGAAAATAATTAGTTTAAGTTATTGCCCTTGTTCTTGAAAACACGTTCAATTTTTAGCTCGTAAACACTCCAGAAGGCACAATTCTTGACGGATTTAGATGAAATTTGGTATGAGTGTTAGTAATCAGCAATGGATGAACCCTATTGAAAATCAGAAAAATCATAAAATAATTAGTATGAGTTATTGCCCTTGCTCTTGAAAACGAGTTTTAGCTCGTAAACGCTCTAGAAGATTCAATTATTGACAGAAATTTAACTAAATATGGTTTGAGTGATTGTAATCACCCAATCGAAAAATCAGAAAATTAGAAAAAAAATGTAATACGAGTTCAAGTCTGTAAACACTCTAGAAGGCCAAATTCTTGACAGATTTTGACGAAACTGGAAATTGTCTTGTTGTTTGGATGGAATAATAAACCAAAAACAGTTGCACTAAGACTGCAAGTTAAAGATCATGTTAACTGAAGTTTAGGTCTAATAATGTCTACATTTACATTGATTCAAGCAATTTTTTTTGAATGGCGAGAATGTAAGGCATTGCAATGTTTTACAAAACGGGTAGGTTTTTGAATAGCTTGGCTACTTTAAAATATGCTGATAGAGTATAAGGATTAAATGGCATAGGTTTGATGACATATATTGTGGTATATTGATATGATGGTAAGATTAAATTAATTGGGGATTATCATTATTAATATGCATCAGTTAATCCTTTGTTAAGCCACCCTGTTATTCTATACTATGGTAAAGTATATATATGTCAGTATTGTAATCTATAAAGACAGGAAATTGTTTGTAGTATGTGGTTAGGTGTAAAGATAATTTCTGAGTGTTATAAATCAAATTACGTTGATGGAAAATCAAGTTGCATTGAGGGATTTTAATTTGCTTATGAATTTCAATCTCCTGACTTTGAATATATTGTGAAATGATATTGTGTTTTTTGTCTAGGGTTAAATTGATGTTTTGTTTAAATGGAATGCATGGATTTTTAGTAGATGGACAAATTTTAGTATATAGCAGATTGTGCAGTGAAGTGAACAATACAGAATTTTAAAATGAAACTACATAGATTATCTGTGAATGTTCAAGCAAAATTGTTGAGGTAGATATAAATCATCATCAATGATGTGAAGTAACTTATGACAGGACCTTTGTTAGACTTGATTGTCATTGCTTATTGTACCTCATCTTCATAAAGTGCTCAAACCATCTGGTCCCAGTTTTAAGTTATATCATAGATGGTCAGCCTTGATTGATTAAATAATCTAGGGGATTTTTCATTCCTCTATAATCAGTTGTAATTCAGTCTAATGTAGGCTTAACTCTTCCTGACTTATATAAACTGTAATAAATTCCTGCTACACTATATTATGTTAATTAATAAACTTCTTGAGCCAAACTGTGAAATTTAAGATTAAGATAATCTCCAGTAGAATAAACTTTAGACAAGTTTAATCCTTATATTAACACGTGTTATCACATTGTTCAATGTCTCTCACAAATCATACGACCAGGAGGTCAGTTTAGGTTAAACATTTAGCATTACCAAAATGTCTGTTTGGTCGCGAAGTAAAAATGACCTCTGCCAGTTGGCAAAAGATCTTGAGTTAGTTACCTTAAAAAGGAGGTCAAAACATGGTAAAACCATATTATCTGTGGACAGTGTTGATATGACAGATTTTGATAAGAGAGACTCTGAAGTTGAGCTTGAGCAAAGAAAAGAGGATTTGGAAGATAACATTAGTTTTAAGGACCCTAGAATTTCTACTCCTAAACAAATGGATAATTTTACTGTTACTCATAGTGTATCTGCTCCTATTGGAAATAATTTTGTAACCAGTACAACAGCTCAGAAATGTTCTATTACAGATGGTACTGTTAGATTACATAGAGCACCAACCTCTGTCACTACTTTTAGACCTATATCACCAGCCCCGTTTGATTTACCTAATACTAGAGCTCAGAATAATAAACTATTAACTGTCAATCAGTCTAGTAAAAGTAATACCTCTAATGTTGAATGTCAAACATTACCTTACCAAGAACGACTAGGCACTGGTACCACTTGTAGTATTGTATCATCCATAGATTCTATTTCTTCTAGAAGCGTAGATCAGAATCAGTTAAAGAGTGTCCTACAATCTGTTTCTAGATTTAATAATAATGATAATGGAGGTCGCAATAAACATTTGACTAAAATACTACGTCAGTTGTGTAGAAAACAGCGTAGTGCTGCTGAAACTCATCTTGATAATGAATTAACTGATGTTAAAAAACGTATTGGTGATCTTCAACAGGTGTGCGTGTCTTTATCAAGATTTAATCCTCAATCTACATCCATAGCAGAAATGGAGACCTCCAGTACCTCAACACCTTCTCTTGATACAGAATTTGATAAGGTTCTTGTGGATATGAAGCCTTATGTATTGAAATTACCAGAAAAATCAGGTGAGTTTCAAATAAAATGTTAAATTTGTCTTCAATTAAAATCTGTGTGTATTCATGCTTGAATTGGTTAAGGGATAGAATTACCATTATCATGACTGACAAATCTTGAGATTAACCTTGAATATTTGAAGTATTATCAGTGTAATCAGTTGATTTGATGCCTTGTAATCATTAATGTTCTAGTCAATAAAGATTTTATCATGTCAATTTTAAGTTAGATCACACTTAATGTGAACGTGTAAACAGATATTCATATACTGTTTTTGATATCTATTGACACTCTTTTGTTCATTTACAGACAGACAAAGATGTGCTGTATGGATTAAAAAATTATGTGAACCTGTAACATCTGGTGTTTCAGCAAGGTTTGTATAGTTGACTTTATGGCTTTATATTTGACCTATCATGAAAATTGTATTTCAAAGTAATTTATTTATTTGCAAGTTCCAGGGGATTTACTTTGTATCTTTGTTTGTACTTTCTTGATTGAAAACTATGTGGAAATGTCAACATAATATTGTTGCTTTATGATGGTTATTTTTTATATTTCAGGAAGAACCGTAATTTACATGCTCAGTTAATGTTAAGAATGTTACGTCGTGGAACTCTTCAATCTCCTTTTGACAAGAAACCAATGGATGGTGCTTTACCTCCATTGCCTACTTATATGGTATGATTGCTGTTTTTATTTATGATTAGTAGAATTGAGTTTTGTAGATTAGAATTTATTTTAGTATATTTTAATTTGCTAGTTAGCTTACTGTAGTTTTAGTACCATTCTATTTCAGTCTATATATTTTGATGAACCAATGAATGGCGGAAATATTGAAGTAAGTATAGATCTTGTTAGCATATATAGTTTAGGCTTCAACTAAGCCATTATTTTTAAAGAATATATCTCCTTTTTTGTTTAATATCCTTTCTTGTAGAAAAAAATTGTAAAGTTAACTATTTTCAACCTGCTACAGCAAAGTTTTCAAATTTAACCTGAAATTTAATGATATTCTGTCATTCCTCAAATTTATATCATTATAAATACATATTTTACATTTAACTTAAACATTAGAATTCAGCACATGTATGTTATTCCATGCAAATTCAATGAAGGAGTCTAGTGATGCTAATTTCTTTACATGAATATAATCCAGCTAAATTGACCGGAAGGATATTGCAACTGATATTACTTTTTTCTTTAAGGATAAAACACCAGATTGGGTGTCTGGAGAGTTGACATATTCCTATGGTTCATCTTTATTTCAAAAATCAGCATTTGGTGATCCTAGTGCCAGTTCAACATTTCTCACCAGTAGTTCTATTAGAGACATTAAAGAAAGGTTTAATGCTGTTGTTTATTCTCCTAAACAAAGGCAGGCAATTCACATTTTTACATGCATTGAATATTTTAACATTAAAATTTTCATAATTGCATTTTGAAATTTGTTATATGAGTAGATGCTATCCCTAACACTTTTCATAATTAAAATATGTAGTACGGTTCTGCTGCTGCTTTATTAACATTCACGTCTGCATTTATTACCAATGATATCGGAATATTTGAATACTGCACATGAGTGAGTTGTGATAATCCCCTAGAAGTGACAATGGTCTAAACTGCCTCTGTACATTTATTAGTATGTTGAATTTTTTCGCAAACCAGACATTTTCAAGCTGAAAAGTGTTACGGACAGCTTAAAAAGCTCTATCCATTTGTGAGCAAACGTTTTGAGCATGAGATTGATTACAAAATACAAATTTTAGAGTATTAATACATCTCAGTGGTAATATTTTGAAAATTTAGAGATCTGCATGTTGTTTAGAATTTGAATTGTTTGTTTTTACTTACTATTTCTATAATGTATGTATGTATGTTGAGACATAACCTCAATTCTAATTTTAGTTAGACAAGATTTTGCATGTCTTGAATAATTCTGTGCATTTCTTAATGTCTCAACCCCTTTCACAGTACATATTCCTTAGCTTTCAGTGTTGGTATTGAATTTGAAATTTAATGAGAAAGATATGAATGCATGTTTCATAAACCCTAACATATGAAGGTCAAATAATGGTTTGTGTTGGAGGTTTCTCCTAAACAAGGACTCCTATAAGCATGAAATCTATAACAGTGACCTCTGCAATGCATTAATCTGGATTAATGGAACAGAAGACAATCAAAATTTTTCTCCAACATACATGTGTGAAGACAGGGTCTTCTGTAGCTAAAAATCTTAATATTTTGGGTTTCATTTTAAGGGAAAGTGAGTTCAATTCTGTTGTTTTTTATTTCAATTAATATAGTAAAGGTGTATGAGTCAGACCATATCCATCCCTTGATATAGGGAGGAATGGTTTGAGAAGAGAGACAAGTAATTGCAATAAAATGGTTAAGAGCGACAGCAGGCTGACTCTTGGAAACACTGACAAAAGCATCAGAATTTTCTTACCTAATCGCCTAGCAGACGACAATCCTACTTGCTTCTGACTGAGCTTCTCCACCAATTTAAGTTCTTGAAGGATATTTCCACTTGAGGAAAGTAAATTTGATATATTGTTCTAATTGATCATATTTTCAGACCATTCAGTAGTTTAGGTGTAACATTAGATAAAGATCCAATATTATCATTATCTACTAGAGATGACAAATCTGTTGGCTTTGCTATGGTGAGTTTTACATTTTTCCATGCGTAGAAAAATTATGTTATTGCTATATATTCTATATGCTGTGTCACACTGTTGTCTTTGTTTGTTGTGTCATTTGTGGCTATGATTTGTTGTGAGAAATGCACAGCACATTTATTCAAACTGAAGCTGATTTAGACAACCTTACATTTGATCCCTAGAATTTTTCATTTAGTTTGATTGTTTGAAATTGTATGAAAATAAGTAATGATGGAAAGTTTGATTAAGAATTTTGATAATTCTAATTCACTATAGGACGATATGAGTATAGATTTAAAATCTTCACCAACCCATTCACATTTAGATAGAGAAAGAAGAACTTTACCTGGTAAGCTCTGATCTCTAGAAAGATTATGATTAATTGATATTGTTATAAAATCGAAATACTCAATCTTTCTTTTATGCATGCAAATTGTACAATTACAGAGAAAATGGTGCACCTTTTTGTCAGAACTTACAGAAGTACTTTAAATTTAAGAGTTTTTGCTTATTCATTTTCTTACACTAGAAATAAATATGTTAGAGAATTTCAACTATCAAACCTAAATCAACTTTTATTGTAGATTGTCCAACTTTGTCTTAGTAATATAGGATCCATCTTATAATGGATTTACTGGCACTTGCACATGGGTTTGACGCATACTGACAAATATCTATCTTTGATGTATATAATTTGACACTGTGTGTTATTAATATTGTAAATGTATATTGTTAGATGTTAGAAGTAAATTTAGTAGTAGTAAATCACCAGAAAGAAAAACCAGAAATCAGGTATGAAAAATATGGATTGGTGAAAAATAGATCATTTTTCTGACTTTAATATTAATTATATTAGCAGTCTTAAATATTATATGTTGTTTTGTCATTTTTATACGCCAACATCTCTCTATGTGGACGTATATTGTCTGCACCCCTGTCCCTCTGTCGGTCGATCGATCCGTCCATCAACATTTGCTTGTAAACGCTGGAATCAAATGAAATTCGGTATGTGTATACATATTCATAAAACAAAGATCAATTTCAAATTTGTGCTATTTTCGACCGTTAAAAGCAGAGTTATTGCCCTTGCCCCAAAATCTTGAATATTTACCATCTGCATGCAGTGGTGGGTGTATATGGCTGTGGTCCACTATCTTTTTTATACCTGCCAAATTAAGTCGAGCACCATTTTCACACGGAGGCCCTGATGTTAATGACTTATGTTGAGCTGTTCTTCATAATGTCAATTGAAATCAAATATGTTTTTGTGATTTTAATACTTTGCTACTTTGGATATCTTGAAATGTTTTTTAAGATTTCGAAACTAAGTTTCCTTTGGCAGCGATGTAAAACGAATTGACCTTAGTACTCAGCAGTAATAAAAAAATAGAATGTCATATTTGCAATTTTTTGTTTTGTCAGGTCACAGAAGATTGGACCAAACCTTTTACACATGATCATTTTCACCCTTCTATATCCTCCAAAGGTAAGTATATCATGTGTTTTTCGAGTCTTTTTTCCCCCAATAATTCAATATCATTATAACAATTGTTACTTGTTAACCTATATTATGTGTAGGCTACTATAATTATCAATTTCAATATATGTATTTGTTTTTTAGGATCCTATTCTGAGGAACATTTTAATTTAAGATCATCAGAGGTGAGCTTCATCTGGTTTACTTTCTTTACATTCTTTATTGAAAGTATTATCTGTGGTGCATAGTAGATATTTCCCAATTCCCTTTAATACACATGGTTTGAGAAGTACTGGACTTGTCTAGAAGCACACCAAGCTGCTAAATTCTGTTCAAATCAAGTTTTTTTTATTTATGTTAGTATTTTTATTTTCATTTATTTAATTTTACCTAATAGGTGGAAACAAAGTTAAAGATTTTAGAGGTTAAATTTCAGGAAGAAAAATTAAAACTTCAACAAAAACATGATATTTCTGTACAAAAGGTTGGTTTAATCACTCAATACTTCTATCATTCTGTGGAAATTTACTATTGAGGATGCCAAGCACAACATTTTTCTGTTTTAATTGGAAGAAAACCCTCTATTGACTATCCAGTAATTTATCTTCCAACCAAAGCCATAATTTTTAGAACTGAATTTATGTCACCATGGTTTTATTCTAGGAATAATCTTTGTAAAAGGTCAAATCTAGTCCTTATTTACTGTTATCGTGTGGCTACAGCAAGTTTTGATATAGACTTTAGGTGAAAATAGTTGCAATGTGTGACAGGTCAACCTGAAGTTTTATAATTGTGATTATAAATATTGTAGATAATAGACAGAAAGAATATAGAAATAGATAATTTAAAGAAGGAATATAATAGTAAGATAAGAGAACTAGAAGAAGTTGTAACTAAGTTAGATAGAAAAGGTATGGTATTCAGTTCATTTCATTCTTGTTATGACTATGAATTTTGGTTCTTTTAAGGCAAACTAACATTTTTAATAATATATGAACATAATAATACTATTTTAAGTGAATTGATCCATATATGCCTTTCCTTCAATTGGATTGTTGTCTGTTAGGCAGTTATGCTCGTGGGTTTCTAAATACCTACAAAAAAGTATCTTAATTTCAGTTCAAAGTTTAGTACGAGAGTCAAGTTCAGTTAAAGATACTAAAGAAAAACAAGTTACAGAACTGAAAAAGATGATAGAAGAAACAGAAGAATCCAAAAGATATCAATATGAGAAGAAGGTACCTTTAAAATGAATTACAGTAAATTACATTTTTTGAATACTTGTACCTATCTGGATATGTCTCAATTTCCAAAATCAAAATATCTAATTGGAAAAAGAGAATGGACATTTTTTTGCTGCAACCATAAGATTTCGGCTTGTTTTCAGTCACAGTCAAACAAGTTTCTCAATGTATTTCCCTTGATGTTTCAGCTCCATGATGTGATTACTGAGTTTGAAAATGAGAAATTTGAAATGCAGAAACATCACACAAGAAGTATTCAAGAGATATTAGATGATACTAATGTTAAATTACAAAGAATGGAGAAAGAATATAGTCAACAGACGACAGCTACTGTAAGATAGTCTTGTATATTTGTTTTATTGCTTGATGATTGAAATAAAAATCAAACCCAATGTCAGATGTTTTTTTCTAAACTGTGCGCTTGGCACCTTAA